GTTTTAAAGGAATACAACATCAACCATCACTTTTCCTCCAAGCATGTTAATTACGCTAACAACCAGTCAACGCAAGAACAGATAGCTACCACACAGAGATTGGCAGCTACTTTGCAAGATCAGCAAAACACCTTTATGCAACAAACTGCCATCCAAGAAACAAGCACAAAGGCAAGTTATTTACTGGCATTCAAATTTAGCAAAGACCAGCATGCCTTTCTCCAAAGGGGAGTTTCTCAAAGAGTGCATGGTAGAGAAAGCAGATCTCTTATGTCCTGAGAGCAAAAACAAATTGGAACAAAATAGCTTATCTTGCAGGAGTGTGACTCGCTGTTGAACAAATTGACAAAGACTTAGCTAACAAGCTAAACAAAAAAACGGAGTCATTTACATTATATTCCTTGGCACTGGACAAAAGTAATGACATAAAGGACACCGCTCAGCTTTTAATTTTTATCAGAGGGATTAATGACAATTTTTAGATAACTGAGGAGTTTTTGGTAATGGAATCCTTAAACGAGACCATGCAGAGAGAGAACTTGTATGGTAGCGTGTCCGAGGTTATCGAGAGGTATGAGACACCTTGGAGTACACTCACCAACGTTACCACAGATGGACTGCCAAATTTGACTAAAAAAAAACATTGGGCTTCTCAAAAGAATCCAGGACAGGGTGAAAGAGGACAACTCTGAGCAGGAGGTAATTTTCCTACGCTGCATAATCCACCAGGGAAGCCCTGTGTAAATCTGTATTACAGCTTGACCATGTAGTTAAACCAGTTGTAAATCTCATCAATTTTATTTGAGTGAAGGACTTCAGCATTGTTAGTTTAAGTTTCTTGAAGAAACTGACACAGCTGACCAGGACTTGCTTTACCACTCTGTCTGCTGGTTTAGGGAAAGTATGTCAATAAGTGTGGGAGCTCAAACTGGAGATAATCTCGTTTTTGGAGCTACTTGAGAAAGCTGACAATTTTCCTGAGCAGAGTGAAACAGATTGGCTTTGTGATTTAGCTTTTGCTGTGGACATATTATTGACACACATGGCACATGAGCTGAACATGAAGCTACAAGGGAAAGACCAGTTTGTGCATGAAATGTACACAAACATCAAATCCTTCCAAACCAAGCCTGCTTTATTCTCAAAGCAAATATCAAACAAGTCATTTCTCATTTTCCCACACTGGTTATGTTGAAAGAGGATCCTCGACGTGAAAAAATACAGGAAATCACGAGACAACTTGCATAAATAATTCTGTCATCGGTTCTCTGATTTTGACAAAATTGACAAGTTACTTCAGCTGATATCATGTCCCTTCATACAAGACCCTGAAACGGCAACACAGGAGTTGCAGTTGAAAGTGATTGGCCTCTAGTGTGACACCATTTTAAAAGAGTAGTTCAACTCTCTTAAACTGGATGAGTTTTATGCTTCATTAAGCACAGCCAAATTTCCAAACATCCAGAAGATGGCACAGAGGATGCTGGTGTTGTTTGGCTCTACTTATGTGTGTGAACAGACTTTTTGTGTGATGAACACCAACAAAGCACCCAATAGATCTCATTTGAGTGAATACCTCAGATGTGTTCTGAAAATTGCCACAACAAACTAACACTAGACATCAATGCAATGGCAAAAAGGGGTGATAAACAACACTGTTCTCACTAAAAGTGACTATAAGTATTAGCACTGTAATGCTTTTTTCTGTTTGTTTGATATGTATGCATTGGGTGCTGGTTCTGTCCGCCTGTCAATTTATAAAAGTCAATGTGAGATTTGAAAACGAGTCTTATGGTCAGAAAGTGGACATTCTAATCATTCAGCCATGTGCCCATATATATATATATATATATATATATATATATATATGCCTGTTTATACTTCTATCAAATATGACCATCATGCATACATATATATGAGATACACACACACACACATCTACCTGTCTGTCTCAAATACTAAAAGAAAAAATGCTGAAGAGAGCTCAACATTTACCTTAGAGCCACATGTGACTACAAGTAAACTTCCAGATGAAATATTTTTTAGTCATTCAATCAAAACAAAGCTCTGAGAAATCTGTAAAACAGTTTTCTATGATTTCAGAATTGAGAGATGAAAATTAGGGATAAAAGATTTAATGTTAAAATTTGTTCAGAGACCAGTGGAGGCAATGCAATAATCAGCTATATATCCTTGTGTTACTGAAACAGAAAAAGGTTGAAAAATTTACAATTTAGTTTAGCTCTAAGCCTCATCATAGAAAGGAAACCAGCTTTTTTGACTGAAGCATTAAAGAAAATGCTAAAAGATTTTACCACAGTAGAAACAAAGAAAGAGATGATGAGAACATTATGAAACGGCCCCTCCCAGATAATATTGTGTGAACAGACAAGGCAACATGAGTATCTATACCATGGAGAGAAAAGACTATTTGGATGGCTTAAAGTTGTCATCAAAAGGTGTTGAACATAAGTTGGTCTGTATTTTTCAGCAAAACCTACAGAATTTTACAACTGTGACATCTATAAACTTGTTGACAGATGGAATAAGATTCTAGGAAGCAATTGGAGTTTATAATGATGATTAAGTATCTACATATAAAATATAATGTGTATTCATATATAATTTTTTTATCTAATACTTTAGAGATTTTTTTTTTGGGGGGTAACCTTTGGATATCAAGCAGAGTGCAAAAACACTCTGATCCTAGATTGGAATATCAGTTCATAAGTATATAATCTCACCAGTTTTAATGGGTACTATTCTATTTTTTTATATATATATATATATATATATATATATATATATATATATAATCCTGTATTTGTTGCAAGCTATTATATCAGCTATTTTTATCCTTGCATGTCTACCCAGTGAATTAGAATACTTTTGATGTTAAGAAATGAGTTTAGATTTCTTTTTATTGGTGATGACCATTATGAACACAAAACTCAATTGTCAAAGCAAAACCGCGACAATACATAGAAAAAAAAAGAATAGTGAGAAAGAGTGATTTTGAAAGAGGAAGCCACAGTTCACTGAGAGATGCACTTTCGTCTTTTCAATGCAATATATCTCGCTGTTAGTTATTTGAGCCATTCGAGCAGATAGGTCAAACTCTCCAATCATTTGATTAGAATACAACAGCAAATACAAAGAAGAGATGAAATTTGTATAAAAAGCTTATCTTTAGGAAATGGAGGGGAGTGGTATCTATTGACCAGTTGGTGACTTCTCACGCCTCTTGTCCCCAAAGGTGGGAAAATCATATTATTTAACCATTTGGGGTTTTTGATATCAACAACAAGCCTAGAGTTATTAGTCCTCACATGAAAGTATTCCCATTTAGACAGCAGAATGGCCTGTTCAATGCATTTGTATAAAATTATTGATCAGTTTTCAAGATAGATTACCAAAAAAAAGTAAAAAAAAAGGGAGGATGGTGAAAAATGATCTTATATATATATGAGATGGATAGAGATTTATCTATCAGAGAGAGTTCTTAAAATTTTATAGTGCATCCATATACTCATATTTATACACACACACACACACATATATATATATATATATATATATATATATATATATATATGAGTGTATATATATATATATATATATATATATATATATATATATATATATATATATATATATAATATTGAAGTATAAGTGATTCACCATGCAGTGTTGACTCTTATATATATATACACACACACACACAAAGAGGTCACATAGAAGTTATTCTTTGATGTCAAAATCATAATTATTCATTGATGGATAGAACATTATTCATTTGGTATAATATTCAGAAAATATTGGACATAAGCAATAAAATACAGCAAAAGGGTTTTATATTTTAGAAGTACAATTATAATTTTAATTACAAATTACTCAAATATTGCTTTTATGAAAATCTATGACAAAATGGAAAAAATCATTTCATATGATGTGTTTCATCATTTTGGACTAAAGTTATGTTTACGCTGATGTGACAAATTAAAAAATTAAATAAAATTTGTATTCCAGAGTTACTTTTTCATATATTGCTTTTGATTAAGCACTCCAGATGATGAATTTCAAGAAAGAAATATTTATATTTTTAAATTTTAAGAAATCACATCATATAAGTATATTTTGTTTAAATACCAGTTTATATGAACACAGAAGAGATCTTTCACAAAACAAAACACTCACTGCATTAGTTACTCCCCATAAGTCTGACCATAATTTCAAAAATGCTACTTTAATTAAAAGGGAAAGCAATTTATTAAGGCAAAATATATAGAAAGTGCACTGATTGCTAAATCATGGTAAATCTGCATACAACTTCTTAGAACATTTTACCTTTTACCATTTGTTATCACAATGTGGGATACTTAGAAACAAAAATAAAATGAAAGTGAATGAGATTGCTTTGATTTCTGTAAGTGGATCAGGAAACTGGACTCTCTATTTTATAAATTGAATTTAATTTTTTTTTTTTAATATTCATAATTTTGAGTGAGATCAAAAAAAAATGTAAATCTGATTATTTTTGCTTGCAGTGACTATAGTACCAAAATTTTTTACCAAAACAAGCAAGAATTTTTTGTATCTTACAGGCATTTGCTTAAAATTCTTGCTATCCTGATATTCTACATTTTTATGTGTCTATAAACCTGAATGCTATAAATAGATTACTTGTTTATTCAAGATTAATCTCACCTTATAAGCATTGGATACTCCTTCTGGATCAAGGAACTTTAAAAGCTCATAGTAGAGATTAGTCCATCCATAATGTCGAACATATTCATAAAGAGCCCAAAATGATTCTTTAGATTCAATCCATGCTGGTGACTTGAAGAAATTGGAGACTGCTTCAGAGAATTTGACTTCTTCCCCATCACTTGTTGTGATTTTGAAGTTAAAATAAAGAGCAGAGGTCCAGAGGAGCAGATAAACACTGCACCAAACACTGATTTTTAATGTTCTGTGAAAGCAGTTATGATTACGCTTACCACGGTAAAACAATGGTTTCCATCTTGCACCGTGATAATGCAAAAATGTTGATGATATTAAAGAAGAGTAGATGATTTGTGATGGTTCATCCCAATAGACAAAAACTCCAAGGAACGAACCAATAGCTGGGACTTTGAAGCCACATTCTTGTTCACCAATATTAGCCACCATGTAAACTCCTGGAATAAAAATTAAAAACATCATGTCAAAGAATTTGAAAGAATTAAACTTTTGGAAATTTCATGGAAAAAGAAAAAAAAGAAATTATTAAGCAGAAAAGTTAGACATATGTACAGTTGACAGTTTATTAATGAAAAAGTATTACTTTTACATAATTGTTGTGGAGTAAATAGTACATCTTCAGTGACTATATGAACTAGTCCACAACTATAAGAAAGATCTCGGTCATAGAGAAAGAAAAGAAGCTGTTTGGAGTGGCGTCATGGCAAGTAGCCAAAGCATTACTTATAAGTGTTACAAAGTGTGTTATAACAGTATCAACAAAAAATTCAAAACTCAGGCAATTTTTAACTGTTGTGACGAGGATTCACAACTCTTACAGCTTATAATAGTAACGAGGATTCAGGAACTCATATGAGTTGTAACTGGAGTTACCAGGATTTTGGAAACTCATTCTGAGTGAACAAGTACAGAAAAAAATATATACTTGTTGCTTCAGGAACAAGGATACAGATGACGAGAATTTTAACAACATTGGTTTAAAAAAAATGTTTTTTTCTTGTTGTGTAAAACAAAATTTTTTTTTTCTCTTTGGCTTCAATAGTTGAAATTCAACAACAGAAACAGCAGCAACAACAAAATCAACAGTTGCTAGAACTATAAAACAGCAACAGGAGTTATTGGATATTAATTCTGAAGAAAACAAAAGTTTTCAATGTCTCTTGTGCCAGACATTGTCCTGATGAGGGACTGAATTTTTCCGTGTATTTTCAGAGATATGAACAAATATTTGGTCAGGAATGCAGCAGGTGGGAAGATTAGAGAAAAAAGATATTGTTATTGAGGAAAATATCTGTGATATGGTATGAAAAATATTCCAACTACATCTTACTGGAAAAAAAAACAGGTAAAATCTAGTTTGAAGACACTATACATATTCTGGCTAAAATCTTCAGTAACAAGAGTTGTTTAATGATTATTGGAGGTGTATGAATCTCAAAAACGATGAAGATTGTCACGTATGCTGGTATCATCAACAAAGAATGTGATAAGTTTAGAATAAAGGAAATGACTCCAGATATGTTCAAAGGGTTAATTTTTGTTCATGGTTTAACAGCTAAAAAAGATGCTGAAATACAAGTGAAAACTTTAATGTAAATTGAACAAAACTGTAATATTACACTGCAAAAAATAGTGGATGATTACCAAACAATTCTACATCTGAAATATGATGCTGAAGAAATTCAGAAATAGGAATGTGCATTGGTACAAGCAAAGGACAAATGTACAAAAAGGAGAATAAATATTTATTTCAGATGTGGTAAATTACATTTTAGAAATGACTGTCCATTTAAAAATGCAGAATGTTACAAGTGTGGTAAATGAGGTCATATAAAGTCACACTGAAAAACCAATCCAAAAAAAATTCCCACAGGAAGAAATTCTAACTTTCACTAACTGCCTATCATTCTTCAACACCTTCCAAGCGGTTTCATATTCATCTTCTGGTTACCAACAACTGTGTACCTTAGGCTATGACTTCCAGCTAGTACCAAGTACCAACCCAATACACCAACTGTATATCAACCTTTGGCACCACTCTGGTCATCATAAACTGTTGACGCATTTAAGACCAAGAGTAAACTATCAGTACAAGCACCCAGAGTATTTAAACATTCTTCGATTGTATTTTTCTTTTTTCTGCCAATAATAAATTTTGGCATATTTTATCTAAATTCTTTTCTTGTTATCCTTATCTTAACCTGTGTCCCTTCTCCAATTCTAATGTTTGCTGGATTCTTCTAACATCCACATTCAGATCCCACAATATCTGGTATAAAATTCAATGTGATTTTTGAAGGAATGTTATTTTTGGGTGGGGGAGCATACACTAAATGTGAAATACAGTAATCCTATTATTTTTGACAGGTATTATGCTAATATATTAAAAATAGTGAAAATGCTTAATCTAAAAACTTAAAATAGTAACTCGAATCTTACAGTAATAAATTTGGATGAAGAGATGCTAAATGACTAGATTTGTCATTTATACCATGCTTATCCTTAAAATACTTTGACCAAAGTGGGTCAGGTAACATCCATAAAAGACAAGCTTCTAAGATGTGGACTGACAGCTTAAATCTCCTGAAGAGCTTCTTTATTTTATAATTAAGTTTATTCTTGAGACAGTATTGTGGTGGTGGTGGTGGTGGTGGTGATTTAAATATTTAAAGCTTTGTTGTTATTCTATTTTTTTTTGTTCTTCCCACTGCCACCACCACCACCAATTCCAGCAAGCAATTTTAAAAAGAATTTACGAACACCATTGATCATTTTGCCTTGTGTTTAAACCAGTGTCCCATTATTCTCCCATCACCCAATCTTTTTGAAATGTCACACTGTTATTTATTTATGTTATTTTATTTTTTTTTACTTCTATTATTGTGAAAACATTTTATGTCAATCCTAAATAATCAATTTCATCCCCACAGCCATACACCTTTCAAGTTTCAATTGTGGTACCATCAGGCACATTTCACCTCTCCCTCATACCCATTCTCCCAAGTGGCTTTACAATGCTTCAAAAGTATGGAAATCTGATGGCACCACATAAAAGAAATGAATCTTGCTTGACTTTTCATCCAAGAGTATTTAATGTCTTCTTTGGTTTTGGGAAGTAGATCGAAACAAATGACATTTCATGCAGAACAAGGAAACAAGAATCCTTTATTCTTTCCGGAACATTCACATTTTTGGTTAGAATTCACGTCCTACACAAACCATTGGTAGTAAGACTGTCATTGTCAGATGTTCTAAAAAAACTTTATTTCAAACTTTATTTCAAACTTTATTTCAAACTTTATTTAACCAAGTAAATAACCAGCTTTAAAATATTCATTCTTCTTCACCTCTTATTTTTTTTTTGTTCAACTTTCACTAGCATATACACATAGTAAGTTAGCTATCAGATAGCATTTTCTTTGTTTCTAATCTTATTTTTCAATCTATTTAGTATAAGTACCTACAAAGATTCACTAAAGACCAAGCATCTTCTTCTATGTGTCTATTCCTGTTCTTTGTAGCTATTAATAACTTTTGTCATTTCTCCCAAACCCTACTCTGACATCCATTTACTCAAGCTCACCATTTAAGTTGTGCATTGCTTTCTTCTGGCCCTCTTACCTTCAATATGTCCTGTGAGTATTAAATTTTCCAAGTCTGCTTTCCTCATTATGTGCCCCAGAAATTTCAACTATGATAAAACAAAAATGCCCAAAACTTTAAAAAAAAAACCCAAAAAAACAGTTCTATCATCAAAATCTTTGTGTTGTTATTAAGAGGAAAGGTCAAAGAATTTATTAATTTTTAAAATCCTTTTTAGAACTTTCAAAATTTTTGTTAAAAATCTTGTTTCTCTGGTGTCAACATAGTGCAATAAATTACTATGAGAAATTTGAGCATCTTTTTGCAGTGAAAATACATTGATTTAGAAATTCTTGCACAAATCAAATAATTGTTGGATTTTAATGAAACTTTTAAGACTTATTCACAAATGAATGAATTTATTTTTTAAACATTTTTATTTTTTTTTTAGAAAATCTTAAAATTATATAAATTTTTAAAAATTTGTTACCTCACACTTATATAAATCTTATGAAATTTCTTGAAATTTTTTTTGGATCACTTAATGTTTATTTTATTTATATGAACAAGTCTGATGAAAATTTAAATCATCAAATATTTTTGGTCAAACGGGATTCCCAGTTACAAATAATCTACTTAAAATCTTAAAATTAAAAATGCAGTAAAACTAAGACATCATTTAATCAGAAACATTTTTAATTGCTTTTACAAATAAAACATATTATGGACACTATTGCCTTAAGAAAAAGTTTTTTTCGATGAATAATGAATTTTTTCAAGAATTAATTAGAATAATTTATAAACTTTTAAAATTTTGTTTTAATTTGTAGTGGCCAAGTGATATTGTTATTAAATAAAAACTATACTCATCATAAATTGAAAAGCTTACTAAAATTCAATAACCACCATTTTAAAAAGAATTTTGGATTTTTGTGTGTGTGTGTGTGTGTACATAAAAAAAAAAAAAAAAAAATCTCTATATGTGTTTTTTCTTGTTTTTTTTTTTTACTTCTGAATCTGCAATCAACACAGTGTCATCTTCATAGTCATAGGTTATTGAATAAATGGTTCAATTCAAAATTTTCCATTGTTTCAATTGACAGTTTTTTTGTTGGATCCATGTTTCCATTCAATTAGCTATGCCTAATTGTTTGTTACGGTTTGTTAATCATTCCATAATTTTTTCTCTGTATTTTCCTCTACATGGCTTGGAAAAAAATTACATCTTTTAAGTAATTTAATTTAGTTTGATTAAAGTATATTTTATGAAGCCATAATATTCAGCTAATTTTTTTTATATCCTGTGTTATCATTCCCTTGACTTTTGTAATCATAGAGTGGATACGAATGCAGAAGCCACACTAACTTTTTTTCCACAACGGTCTATCAACAGCAGCCATCAGCAATTCTGTTACAGTCATACCTGTCCATTGTTTGACATTCTTCAACCAGTTCTTGCGTTGGTGTCCTCTCCTACGTCCACATTCAACGGTACCTTGCATGAAGGTCTTGCACAGGCTGTTGTGCCTTGTAAGCTGTCCAAACCATGCCATTTTTCTTCATTTAGCAGTGGTGAGAAGAGGTTCCTGGTGTCTCACAAAACTTTCAACCCTTTTCTGCACACACTCATTGGTGTTTTGTTCCCAATAGAAAATGCCAAGGAGTTTTTTTTTCACGCATTTGTTCTCAAACACTTGGATCCTTCTCTCTGTTATTAGTTTATTTGCTACTAAATAACAAAAACTGAATGAACATCCTTAAAGTGTTATAATTCTATAATTTTTACCATAGGTTGTATAAATAGAAAAATATACGTAGAAATATTTGAAAGGGATCTGTTTGTCATACAATGTGG